AATATCAACGTCAGATCTTATTACAAACAGTCGTTAACCCTGAGCATCTTACCCTTTTTATTTAAAAAATTATTAAAATTAATATTTTTAATATATTGGATATGTTTTTACAAAATAAGGGACAAATTGCATGAAAATGTAGCATATTTTAACTTGATTTCTATTTTGAATAACATATATTTTAGTATCTAAGATGTAAAGCTTTAAATATTGAAGTACCGGGGTTACCGATTGAAGAATAATTTTAGATTAAAAAAATTCATGTCACTAACTATGTTAGCAAATAATATTGAGTGTAGATGACACATCACTCGCCACATCAGCATGATAACCGGTTAATGATTTAAACCGGTTACCCGGGTACTTAAATATTTAAAACGTTATATCTTAGGTATCAAAATGGAAGTTTTGAAAGTATGTTACCCAAAATTAAATCAAATTAAAATACGTTATTTTTTCATGTAATTTGCTCTAAGATAAATACATTTACCTTGAACTTAGATCTTAGACGTTGTTTATTAAACCCAATATTGTGATCTATTTATTAGCAGTTTAATGAAATTCATAATTGTATATGACTGTTTGGTAGTGTTTTCAAGATATAAAAGTGGTTTATTCAGTAAGGTTTAGAGTAAATTTATGTAGAAAACTAAGTTTTTTCCAGACTTTTTCCTCTCAATTAACAAATACGTTTATTTTATCTATGAAAAAACTCTTCCAAACATAAATTTTCTCAATCTATACAGACAGATTAATTAACACGAACATCTTTATCCATAAACGTCTTAATGAAAAACCAACCAAACAACCCTTTAATCTCAAAATAAATATATAATCAAGAGTAAAGTGACACATTTCAATAAAACTGGTTTAACATAGCAGTGTTTGATTAAGTTTTTTTTTTTTAATGTATATAATATTATATACGACAAATAAAACAATAAACTCACATACCCTCCTCACATTTGGTGAAGTTTGAACCCTTGATCTCTTAAAAGGCCAATGACTCACATACCACTAGGCCAATGGCCTTTTGGTGTGTTTGGTTTAAGCTTGAAGAATCATTCATGCTTCAATAGATTGAATCTGATATATGGGTAACCAATCTATTGTGTTTTATTTTCATAAATAGAATAAAAAGATCGAATGAACGATACTCTCTTTAAACGATCACATTTTATTAAAACTAAAATGGTGCAGCATGCTGAAAATGGGACTACATTCAGATAAATCGATCACTGTGTTGTCACCATCTAACTCATGATTATTTTGAAATTCCACTACTTTTAATGTTCCTTTTTTGGAAAATATTTGGCAAAATATCTATCTTAGACTTGTCTTTGACAATCAAGCAATACAAATTAGTTTCGTTATTATTACCTATATATATATATGTATATATATATATATATATATACACACACACATATATATATATACATCTGTATAGATGGTCTGCTTTGATAGTTATCTCGTAATTCAGATAGATATCATTAAATTTGATTCGAAGGATGGTGACTTAACTGTATAAAACCTTTGAGACTATACAAGGATTGAATTCAATCATTATAAACGTGTCAAAAGCGAAAACTTTTTTTTTTTTGTGATTCTCGACTTTCATCAACCTAAACTCCAATCATGATCGACGATGATCAAACGTTTCCTGATTACCCGCCAAAAAACAACCTTCACCTTGTTTACATCGGCACAAAACATCCAATACAGAAGTCAAGTTCTCGACAACACGAATGTGTACGTACTCTGTATGTCTCAAGTTCTTCAAACTTCACAACCGTGATTACCAGGTTCTTCATCACATAGACGACACCTCTACCAATTGACACTGATCATGCCTTCAATATTTTGGCCTGTACTTGATGCTCACGTCCTACGATGGATTTATGGGCACTCTCTAATTATGACATTGTTCGTGTTATGGACACTGAATCCATTGCCTATGAAGCATGAGTTAGCCTAAAATTATCTTTCACAATAACAAAGGCTCTCGTAAACATGAGTTTTCGGGGATTAAAATAAAACTAACTTTGTTTTCGGTCTTGTTTTGGAGAAAATGAAATTTGTTATCAAATCATTTAGTTAACAAGTTTTACAGTTAATTTTCGATGATCATTCATAACTGTAAGATAAATTATTGACATGATTTAATTTTTTTAAATTATCCCGTGTAATACATAGGATCGAACATAGTATATATATATATATATATATATAGTATATTTTAAATGCAACCATGTCCATTTGTATAACCAATGCAACCAAATTAATTGAGATATTTATAGTAATGATTAGAGTTTATTTATTATGAACTAAATATATTTATGAAAGATAAATAAAAATTATGATCAATACTTTATATTAAGAAATAATCAAAACTTCTATGAAATCATATATTCATCAAATCAAATGAACGGTTGAGATAAGATTGTATTGATTGTACAAATGTAAATGGTTGTATAATAACAAACCCCCCTCTCTCTCTCTCTATATATATATATATATATATACCCCCTTGATTCCAAAAAGTACACCCTTTTTTAAAGTTTTTTTTTCTCTTTTGTAAACAAGACAAAACACACACTGTTTTTTTTTTTGAAAGACACGCTCATTTCTTAATTTTATAATTATAAATTACAATTTTGTCCCGGTAATTAATTAAAAACTAGAAAGATATCACAATTCAAGAGGATAAATCTTTATTTTATTATTTAGTTTTTATTATTTGTTTCTATCAATATAATGCGATTTTATGTGATTTTGAGAAAGCGATATGCTTTTATTTTTTAATGAAATGTAAATATGAAAAAAATAAATCGATATTAATATCAAATTAATTATTTAATAGTTCTCGTTTTTTTGTCTAACTTCTTTAATTCAAGTTTTTATTATAATTTAATTTAGATTTAATAACAAAAAAATTTATTTTTGGTTTAATAATATAATTTTCTATAAAGATAATAATTAAATATTTTGTTAAAACTCAATTATTATCTTAATTATATATTAGATTTTCTATACTTAAAATAAATGTTTATCATGTATTTGATTATGTTTATCTGCATTTAGTTACACGAATTCAAAAATGAAAAGTTTTAATAAGTTGTACCTACTCAAAATTATTTGTAATCTTAAATTTTAAGTAATATGCATCAATAAACAATATTTCATATATAAAAAATAGTTTTTAAAAGATTTTGTCAAATGATTTATAATATAGTATAAATTATGATTTTGTTCTATGATTTAAAAGTTATTTTTATGTCACCTTCTGGAATTGTGGTTTTTTCATTTTAATAACTTGCAATTTATCGTTGTTTATATATTTATGGTTTAATTTCCCCTGTTCATGTGGTTTATATTTAAGTAAAAGTTAACCTTATAGATGAATAACAGAATGAATTATAAATTATAGGAACAAAATCGTAATTTCAAAACCAGATAGATGAATTATGCAATTTTAAATAATCCATAGGGACTAAAAACGTAATTTACTCATGTAACAGTTTAGTAATATTTCATTAAGTTTTTATTTATGTACGATGTACGGCAAAAAGACCAGACTCTTTGATTTAAAGCAAACCGATCTCGAACTTGATGTTGACGTCATTACGTTGGATCAAGTCGACCATGGACTTATCATTTTGGGTATGGTTGTCAATGAAACCATAAAAATAAGTGTACGTGTAATTTTTTTTTAGAGCAAATTATATGAAAAAGTAACGTATTTTAACTTGATTTATATTTTGGGTGACGCATTTTCAAAACTTTCATTTTGGTACATACGATGTAAAGTTTTAAAACATTTAGGTATCCAGATAACCAATTGAATACTAATTTTCGATTAAAAAAAAGACTAATTTTAGATTAAAAATTTCATGTCACTAACCACGTCAGCAATTAATACTGAGTTGGATACCACATCACTCGCTACATCAGCATGATAACTGGATAATGTTTCAACCGGTTACCCGGGTACTTAAATGTTTAAAACTTTACATCTTGGATACCAAAATGAAAGTTTTGGAAGTACGTTATCCAAAATAGAAATCAAGTTAAAGTACATTATTTTTTTCATGCAATTTGCCTTTTTAAATGTAAATTTCTTAAGGTATATAGGTGTAACACCATAAGATTTGTTGGGTTGAAAAGATAAACATTAAAATCTTTAAAGAGTTTAAATGAAAAAGTTATAGATTTGGTCCCTGTACTTGCGAATCTGATTTAAAAACTTTTATTTTACATTTTGAACCCTCAGCAAATTGAGGAGGTGCCAATTGTTGAGATAGTGATATTTTTGAAATTTGGGGAGAGAAATGACTAAGAGATGAATCCAAAACTTGAAAATGACTGTTTCTATTAATTTTCCAGATATATTCTAGGAATTCGTCTTACTTGTTAATTGTTCATATCTTTTTGATAACTTGACTATATTTGGTAACATAACTGTTAGGGGTTGTTTGACAATTGCTGAATGGTTCGGTGCAGAATGAGTAAGTGATCAGAATGATTGAGAGGCTCTCAAGATATAGTGCAAAATGAAATATAATTGTTTGGTAATTGTGTACAATGAAATTAAGGCTCTTAATGGTCAAGGGAGATTCATGATACAAAATCATTCAGAGGGTTTATAGAATCATTAAGAGGTAGACTCTTTTTTTTGTCAAACAAGATTCACCTATTAACGATTCAGATGTTGCCTCTTAATGGAACTATTAAGAGGTAAACAAACAACCCCTAGTTGATAAACTCTCTATTGATTGAAAAATTAACTGTTAATTGAAAAACCATTAATCAAATTAGTGATGGCCAAAAACCGGTCCCGGACCGATCCCAAGATTTCTCATAACCGGTCCCGCCCATATAATAAATTAAGTGATAGATGTTCTTGAAATGAGAGAAATACATGAGAAAAGAGGCCCAGCCCATTAAGACACCTTAAACGGCCTACCAGATTTGCAGGTGCAATTTGCAAACAGACTGCATATAATCCAAATCTCTGTTCTAAAAAGTTATGATCAAACAGCTTCATAAAACGTCTACCATCTTCTTCCACCGTTTCATATCAAATCCGTTTATGGCACTTTCTTCGATCTTCATTGTTTTTTCTGTTTTTGAGAGTTGACAGCAGAGAATTCGGGATCGATGATGATTTGAAGAATCTGCGTTATCTATCTGCAAATTCCTTTAGAGGAACTGATGATGATGATGATGATGATGATGATGATGATGATAAGTGTTATCTCCCTCAGATCTGATTTCTCTATCTACGGTAACACACATTAAAACACATCCGAATTTCATAGAGTAAATGTAGGAATTTGATTGCAATTTCAATTGCTGTTTGAATTTGTGATTTTACTTGTTCATCGCAATCGTCATGTGTTTGTTTTTTTTTCATAAATTTGCAGGTTTTTGATCTGAGATTTTTGTTTCCAAATGAGTTCATGCTTCTGGATATACTTTGGACTCCTTTTGAACTGTGATTTTCCAAGCAATTAAACATGATCGTTTTGGAAACAATAAATTAAGAGAATAAAATTATGCATATATATATATATATATATATATATATATAKAGAGAGAGAGAGAGAGAGAGAGAGAGAGAGAGAGGGAGGGTTGGGTTCATGTGAGAACAAAGGTTTTTCGTGAGACCCGTAAGACTAATTTATGTTCATTGATCAATTTTATAAGATAATGATCCAATGGTTAAAAGTTACAAGGTGACAATTTTGTAATTATTGAGAAGTCTCGTGGCGTTTATGAATGTTCGGATCTGACGATTGTAAATCTAATCCAAGGGTTGAGAATTGGTCTTACGGGTCTCACGAAAAACCATTGGTCTCACATAATCCCAAGTATATATATATATAGGGGAACGATAAAATGAAAACCACTCAATTTGTAAAAACCGTAAAAACCTCATTCCACCGATCATAATTTTTCATTTTGTTCATTTTTTTGTAATTATGAGAGGTTGATTAACTATTTTTATTGTGTAGGATGTTAAACATGAATATTATCATCTTTATTATTTTAATTTTAGAAAAATACATGAAACAGTTTCATTAAAATTTCATTAAGTAGTATATATGAAACAATTTCATAACCATATATGAAACAACTTCATCAAAAAAAATATTATATGAAACAATTTCACAAGATTAAACAATTTCATGAAATTTTTCCATAAGATTAAACAATGAAATCGACGGATGAGAGTAGTTTTTACGGTTTTTACAAATTGAAGTAGTTTTCATTTGATCGCTCCTATATATAGATGAGCGTTTAAATAAAAACCACTCAATTTGTATAAATCGTGAAAACGACATTCAACCAATCATAATTTTTCATTTCGTTCATTTTTTTTTGTAATTATGAGAGGTTGATTGACAATTTTTATCGTGGAGGAGTTAATCATGGATATTATCATCTTTATTATTTTAATTTTAGAGAAATACATGAAACAGTTTCATTAAAATTTCATTAAATATTATATGAAACAATTTCATAACCATATATGAAACAAATTTATCAAAAACAATATTATATGAAACAATTTCACAAGATTAAACAATTTCATGAAAAAAATTCATAAGATTAAACAATGAAATCAACAGATGAAAGTGGTTTGTACGATTTTTACAAATGAAGGTGATTTTCATTTGATCGTTCATCTCTCTCTATATATAATTATATGATTAGTTATAATTGTTGACAATGAGAGCATTTACATGGACACATTCTTAAAAAAAGGCAAAACTATTTCTGTTTCTTTTAATGTCAAAATTAGGTGAAGTTATGCATTTAGAAGGTAAAAGGTGGATTTTAATGTTGATGTATGTGACAAGAAAACTACTACCATTTAGGGGTGTATTTTAATGTTGATGTATGTGAGAAGAAAGCTACTACCAGTTAGGGGTGTATTTAGCAATATTAGAAGGGTAATCGCGTAACGCAAACAAAATACATCTTGATTTTAATATTCCATTTTATTCTTAATCTCAGTCGATGTTATAATATGGTCTGATTTTGAAAAAACTTTAATGTTTTTTTAAATAAAATATAAATTTGAAGATATATAAAAATTGACAAAAATATTTCGATATTAATATCAAATTAACTATTTCAAATTCCTCAGTTTTGTGTAATTTTTTTAATTCAATTTTTTAATTATAATTTAATTTAATTTTATTTCAAAACTAAGTAATTTATATTTGGTTTAATAATATAATTTTTTTATAAAGATAATAAGTAATTATTTTGTTAGAAGTCGATAATTATTCTGATTATATTTTAAATATTTTATATTTTAAAATCAAATATTTATTCTTTATTTGATTATGTTTATCCACGATTAGTTACACAAATTCAAACATAGAGCTTTAATAATTTATACTTATGCATAATTTACTTGTAATCTTGAATTTTAAGTAATATGCATCAATATACACTACTTCATGTATAAAAAATGGTTTTTAAGAGTTTTTGTCAAATGCTTTATAATATAGTATAGATATAAGGATGCAATTACCCTCTCCAAATTAAATTAAATAGAAAATCAAAATCTTAGAGTAAATTATGGTTTTTGTTTACCTTTCAATAGTTTTATTAAGAGACAACCTCTAAAACGTTAAGAGATAAATCTTGTCTTGGCAAAAAAAAATGTTTGTCTTTTAATGGTTTTAAAACCATCTGAACGATTTTATATCTTGGGCCTCATTTAATCATTTAGCGTCCTAATTCCATTGTAAACAAGTACCTAATAATTATATTTTATTTTGCACTATATCATGAAAGTCTCTTAATTATTCTGATTATTTAATCATTTTGCACCAAGTCATTCAGCAATTGTCAAACAACTCCTAATTTTTATCTTTATGTATAAGAAACCAAAATAGTAAGTAATTTTAAACCACAGAGGCCGAAACATTAATAATTTATAAATCATAAGAATGAAAATAACAATAAATTACGAACTGTTACGAACCATAGAGATAAAAACCGTAATTTCTAAACCATAAGAAGAAAAATCGCAATTTTTAACTGGTGAAGGAAAGCATAATTTACTCCAAGTTTTAAAATTTTCAAAAATATCATTTACTAATTTTTAACACAAACGTAATTTTTAAAATTTTTAACAGGTGAAGGAAAGCGTAATTTACTCCAGTTACCATGTTGATGTGGCGAGTGATGTGGTATCTGGTTAATGCTTCAGCACATAATACTGAGTTGGATATCACATCACTCGCCACATCAACATGGTAACCAGTTAATGTTTCAACTCGTTATCCGAGTACTAAATGTTTAAAACTTTACTTCTTAGGTACAAGTTCTGAAAATACGTTACTCAAAATAGAAATCAAGTTAAAGTACGTTACATTTTCATGTAATTTGCCCTTATCATTTTCAGTGAGTTTTCAAATTTGCAGTTTTGCTAGTTATCATTTTGGGACAGAAAAGTTTGGGAAAATCTGGTGGAGTGAAAGAATTTCATTTTCTCTATTTTCAAAAAATATGTTGACTTGTATTCAATTTCTATTATCAGAAATAATGTTTAATTTTATGAAAATGTTAAATTTACGGTTTTCTTTTTACTTAAATCACATGACAGACTCGCAAGTAGTAGATTAGTTGACACAGAAAGATAGCTTTAGTTTCCATGAAATCAAAACATAACAATACCACACCTAGAGACAAAAATAAAAAAGAGAAAAATACTGCTTACAAACCAACATATAACTGCATAAACGTCAACTGTGTTTCAACATTTCAGTTTTGTTTTATGCTCTCATAAGCAGCTTTTTATTTATGCTTATGACATTGTAATTAGCTGGAAATGAACTTCTTAATTATCGCCTCACCACCTCAGTTTTGCAGGGAAATACTGCATTCAACAAGTGAACTATACGTAAGCATTGATAAATACTTGGATTGATTCAAAGATTTCAGGTAAAAACTGCTCTCACCTTATCAATTAGAGACTGATAGTACGGTTTCACGTTCTCAACATCAACCCGAACTTTGCTCTTGCTGTAGAGGTCGTACTTGCTATATTTTCATACAAATATAAAGAATAAAAAACCTGACAGATATATTACCAAATTTTGGAAAACACTGTGACAATTGAAAACTTACTTGAATATTTGAAGCCACTTTAGATTCTCAACGTCTTCCTCGTTCATCAAATGCTTATATGCTTCAGATCTATGCAACGCTATTGTCAAAAAAACGAGGATTAGTAAATAGCAGATTCCCCCTCCCCACCAGGGAATTACAATCTTTTAACAAAGTTTGTACCGTAGAACGAATGGTATCTTATAATAAAGAGACCAGCTGACGGAAGACTTGTCCCGTTCTCTTTTGCCACCTAAGGAAATGACAACGAACACGTTAAAATTAATGACCATAATTAAAAACTATGTGTAATGGATGAACGTTTTGAAGAGACAAGGTGTCAGTTAGTACCAAGTACATGTAATCATCATGCCCCCATGACATCATAACGTTGTCGAGTCCGCAACGTTCTAAGTAGATTCCACATTTTGTATTGTAATTGGAGTTGTTGTAGTCTGGGTTTTCCATGAAGTACTGTTTTCACAAAAACAAATCAGTTTTTTTAATGGAAAACACATTTTTTGTGAATTGTTGTCAATATAATTTGTGTATCTGTAAGAATCTAAACCTTGCTGTGAACAATTGATTTGTCAAAAGCACATCCTACTGGAAACGTATCTCCAACAACTGCCCATTGAGGAAGTTCTCCAAAACTCGGATGAAGCAAAACCTTTCCAAGATCTGCAAAACGCAGATTTTCAAGTCAGTATAACTTTTCAAGTCTATAGAATCATATAAGTAGATAAACCTTGTTTTATTTCGATTCTCATTAAGTACCATGGATTAAGGCAGTCAAGTGAAGCCAATCTTGGTTAGGATAGTCTTTTCTTATGGCCTCAGCAGTCTGCAGCAAGTGCTCAATTTGGGGTTCATCCAAGTCAGGATCGCTCTCATCGACAACCTGGTTCAGGAGTTCGCAACATTCCCAGATGCTCATTTCGACCTTGTCCAATTTCCCATATTCCTCTCTCATCCTTTTGACCTGTCCATTCATCCGGTCGGTTATAATTTAATTAATTAATTTTATTTGAAAATGAAACTATTATGACCAAAGAAAAGATACTCACAAAATCAACAGTTTGATTGATGTGATTTGTACGGTAAAAATTCTCCACCCCCTTTTGTCTTTCACTTTCTATCTTGTAATCCCTGTATAACGACAGATTGACGTTTAGCTCTTTTTCATAACGAGATATTTTAGTTAAAGTTTAAATCACCAAACGGAAATTATAAATTGTCTTTTATTTATGTTTTCCAGTTTTATATTTTCTCCCTAAACTCTCCTTGGTTATATCATTGATTCTGATGGGCATTTTTGTAAATTCATCATATTAACCCATTTTATTTAGATTTCCAAGCTTATTTCAAGTGGGTTGTGTCCGCGTGAGACTAACCTGTTTTCGTGAGACTCGTGAGACCACTTCTTTACACTTGAAACTTCACAGCAAAACTAACTTCACAACAAAAACACTGTGAATGTTACTTCACGGCGTTTTGCTGTGACGTTTCAAATGTAAAAAAAAATGGTTTTATAAGTTTCACGAAAACAGACTGCTCTCACGTGATTTCGAACCTATTTAAAATACATGATAGAATTTCATTAGTAACAAATCAATAAAATTGTATATAAAAATTAGTTTTTGGTAATTAAATAAACCACCTAAAATTGTGGCCAAAAGAATTGGTGTTGGGAATACAAAATCCACCATCCAACACCAATCCTGATTCCTCCCCATTATTTGGCTTCTGCTCCTCACCATCATTTTCTGCTCAAAACAAATATAAATAATAAATTAAAATGCACCAAAAATTAAAAAAAAAATAACTTAAAAGTTGTTAATTTGAAGGGTTGTTTGGCAGTTGTTGAATGATTTGATGTAGAATGATTAAGTGGTCAGAATGATGAAGAGGTTCTTATGATATAGTGTAAAATGAAATATAATTGTTTGGTAATTGTTTACAATGAAATTAGGGCGCTGAATGGTTAAGGGAGACCCATGATACAAAATCATTCAAAGGGTTTTAGAATATTAAAATACATATTTTTTTTTATCAAACAAGATCCACCTCTTAACGATTTAGAGACTTTCTCTTAACTAAAACATACATTTTTCTAGAGTTCATCAATAATAAAAAAAATATCAAAAAAAAAGCTAAATATCTGTCTCAAATATACGACTTTCTAACGTCGATGGCTCGCTTTTAAAGCAAGATATTGAACCCCGAAAGCTAAATAAATCTATAAGTAAATAAATACATATTTAAAAAAAAAAAGAAACTAAAGATCGTAACAAACGTAATATTTTCAACGATGTAACTGATAACAAATCTAGATACAAGAAAACCGTTCTCAATTTATAATAAATACATAGCGATTTTTTATATGAAGAGATTAAAAATACGAAACGACAAATTACTGAACTGGGTTTGATCAACGATGACCGTCATTTATACAGATCAGGAATACAATATAAAAATAAGATGATTAAATAAACAAAACGGTAAATTACCGAACTGGGGTTGATCAACGATGATCGTCATTTATACAGATCAAGAAGGCGATATAAAATAAGAGAATTAATTAAACAAAACGATAAATTACCTAACTGCGGTTGATCAACGATGATCATCACTTATACAAATCAAGAAGACGATATAAAATAAGAGAATCAAATAAACAAAACGACAAATTACCGAACTAGGGTTGATCAACGATAATCGTCATTTATACAGATCAAGAAGACGATATAAAATCAAAGATTTAAATAAACAAAACGCTAAATTACCGAACTGGGTATGATCAACGATGATCGTCATCTATTCAGATCAGGAAGACGATATAAAATAAGAGAATTAAATAAACGAAACGGTAAATTACCGAACTGGGTTTGATCAATGATGATCGTCATCTATACAGATCATGAAAACGATAAAAAATAAGAGAATTAATTAAACGAAACGATAAATTACCGAACTGAGGTTGATCAACGATGATCGTCATCTATACAGATCAGGAAGACGATATAAAATAAGAGCGTAAACAGAACGAAACACAGAGTGGTTAGTGAAATTGTGAAGAAAAGTGAAAGGGTATTTATAAGATACCGGAAAAGTCCTTCCCTGAGAATTCAGACTCACCGAGTCCTTCCCTGAAAACTCAAACTCTTCCCACTCCTTCTTCCGCAAATTTTTTTTTAATTAATTAATTATTTTAAAAATATTGATAGGCGCCGGTTTAGAGGTTGAACCGGCCGAGTTAGGTTTGGATTTTTGTCTGTGGTGGGACCGGTGGTGACTCAGCCATGAGTTGGCATCAATTCATAGCCACTCGCTATCTGTCGCTCACCTTCTTTTTCTTGAAACAATTTGATTTTTTATTGTTTACAACTTTATGTTTTTTAATATTTTTTTTAATTTTATTTACAGGGTAAATTGCATGAAAAAGTAATGTATTTTAGCTTGATCTTTGTTTTGATTAAAGTATTTCTAAAACTTTTATTTTGATGCCTAAGATGTAAAATTTTTCTAACCGGTTGAAACATTAATCGGTTATCATTTGTTAACGTGGTTAGTGACATGGATTTTTTTAATCTAAAATTAGTCTTCAACAGGTTGTCCGGATGCTTAAATGTTTAAACTTTACATCTTAGGCATCATTTTTTTTTTATTATAATGATGGTCAACCAGAACGAAAGGTTCATACTCTAACACTTTAGGAAAGAGTTCGCTTGATGGTGCAGATCCTCCATAATATGGGTGGCAGTCGTGTACGAGAATCTAAGTGATTAAGAAGTGTCTGTAGACGCAAAGTAGTGTGTTTTAATGCGTGACTTTAAAAAAGATCAGGAGTGATTCCTCACGTGTCCTGTCAGGGGCCCAGTTGAACGCTCGAGTATAGATTCAGCAATCCCAGGTTTGGAATTCATTTTGAAAATGAAAGTTTTGAAAGTACGTTACCCATAATATGAATCAAATTAAAGTACGTTACCTTTTCATGCAATTGGACCTTATTTATATTTATATTATATGGGATTATATAGAAAGTCATCTGATTCAATTTAAACCGACCGATCCTATTAAAGTTGATCGTCCATAATCGGATATCCAAATATCATTGGGTCGGATCATATCCAAAATTTTAACATACAAATTGGATCATTTGGTTCTTGGATGATAGTTCAGAATCCAATAAAATCGAACTAATCTTATTCAATGACATCCGATTACATATCTAATTAAATAATTATTAACATTTTACGATATTGGTTTCGTTGAAATATATATATATATATATATATATATATATATACACACACACACGTGGCGGTTTTTAATAATTTAATAAAAATATATAGACAATTGGTTGAAACGTTGATTAATTAGTTAAAAAATTTCTATCAAAATATTGGATGGATCCAAATCCAATCCAATAGAAAACCAATGGTAATATATAACAGATAAAACCCATCTGATCCGATCATCTGTTAAGTTGAATCAGATCAAATGTCTACTGTTAATTGGATTAAACAGATGACAAAATCCAACATCCAGAAAAATGACAATTGATAAACTTTTTTCACTATAAGATAATCGATTTTTATGTTTCTGAAAAAATAGAAATAAATGTTATTTATATTGAATGTTACAAGATCCAACTCCAATTAACTCTAAATAAAAACGAGAGTAAACTATAAGTTTGGTCTTTATGGTTTGTTAAAAATAACAATTTTCGTCTTTACAGTTTCAAAATTAGAATGACCATCATAGTTTGTAAAAACGTCGGGATTTGATCTCCCCCTTTAACGGATTTTAAAAAAAAATCCGTTAAATTTGGGAGAGTTTCTTCCCTTTACTGCAAGGACGGACCCAACGTAGAGCGTACAGTGGCCCATGCCGTCGTATTGTTCACCTGTCGTGGTGTAAAACTTTTTGGGGTCGTGGAAAGTGTTATCGTTTTAAAACTACAATGAAAACAAGTTTTATTCGTTAGAGTTGGTTTGCAAGACTTTTCTTCCATCCCAAACTCGAGTTCAAACATTTTCAAACATTAAACGACCGTTAATTTCAAACACTTTACAAATCATGAAAACATTAAACTTTTCTTCGTTAACGGAATATTTAACGACGACTATAATTTTAACCACAAGAGTGGTGCCTGATTGGTTTGAGCTTGACTCCAAAGGTCAAAAGTACCAGGAGGTCCCAAGTTCAAATCCAAGTAGGAATAAAAATCCCCTTGTGGTCACGGAGATTCAAATGTGGTGACTCCGGGCTATCTGCGAAGCAAGTGGTCATCCTGGAATTAGTCGACGCCCATAGCGGGTTAGATATCCAGATTAATCAAAAAAATATTTAACGACGGTTAGAAAAAAGGATCAATTTCAAACATTTTACAAATCATGATAGACATCTTATAATTTCGAAACAGTAGGGATGAAAAATGTTACTTTTAATAAATCATAAGGACCAAATGTGTAGTTTATTCTAAACTTTATGATTTTTGGATTAAAAATTTAAAGGATAAAAACGAAAGACTGTTTTTGTCACACAGTTTAAGGTAGGTGGGGCTAGCTGACGTGTGATCGACTCATTGAAGCCGTAACAATATTTGTGACTGTTTTCGACGAGATTACGTGTCACAACCCACCGCTGTCCACGTCGGGTTACCCGATTATTATCATTATTTGGACATGGATATATTTGACGATGTTGTTTGATAATTGTTGAATATTTTGATATGAAATGATTAAGTTATCAGAATAATTAAAAGACTCTTATGATATAATGTAAAATAAAATATAATTATTTGGTAATTATTTATAATGAAATTATGGTGCTTAATGATTAAGAGAGATTCATGATACAAAATCATTTAGAGGGTTTAGAACCATCAAGAGGCAAAAAAATATTTAACAAACAAGATTCACCTCTTAAAGATTCAGAGGTTGCCTCTTAAGAAGTTAAGGGTACTACTAAGAGGTAAACAAATAACTCTGAATTTATTGGCAAATATTTAATTATTGGTAAACCCCTAATTGTGATATAGGCGACTAGGATGTTTGCAACACGGTTTGTGTCAAACTGTAAACTGCATCATATATGTAATTTGAGTATTTCTTTTAAACTACGAACTGTATTTGCATATATTTCAAGCTGTAAAAAACATGTAGTTTGTATCCAAACCGTTTTACGACTACAATGCAATAGTTATAAGATTGATTCATTATAAAATCAGTAATAACGTGATCATAGTCCATTAAAAACAATATCAATCTTGGCATATTCAATTGTGACGTTAATATGAAACAAACGTAATAGAATTACATGTAAATACATAAATTGGTTTACATTCTGATAAAGAGTACGAGAAAATAAGTGTATATTACTCATGATTATCCTCATTTTACCTGCTAGTACTGTCTACGACTACTGCACTGTCTTTTACCTTGATAAGCCACTGTGTTTTGAAACCACTATATAACAAACATAGTCATAGGTTATTTTGAGAAGTGGTACATATTTGATAAATAAAGAAAAGTGATCATAGCCCTTCATACAATGAAGATTGGATATGACGGGTCAAGAATTGCGGCTTTGACTGGTCAAACTTTGAGGCTATGCAAAAAATAGAGAGGGTAGTTTCGTAAATTTTACAAATAGGCGATAAACAAGTTCATATGTGAACCCGTGTGATTCATATGTGAACCCGTGTGACTCACATATGAATTATATGTTAATATGTGAACCAGTGGAGTTCACATATGAACTAATTAACTGATTCACATATAAACTCGTTTGCTCCTTATTTGTAAAAGTTACGAAACTACCCATCTATCTTCCGCATACCCATGCGAGAAATTATACGATGCTTCACAGTCAAAACCACATATGTTAACCAGATAAATGACTAAGATCCCTTATTTACTTTTCAAATACTTACCATTTCTCAAATGAAACTTTCCCAACAAACGCATTTATCTATGTATACACACAAATACGAAACTGATGACGTGTATATTTTTCTTGTATACGTATTTCAAATTTAAAAAAAATGCAAAACCTAAGTTTAGGTAGGAAAAACATGTGCCAACATGTGTGTTGCTTATTATTCATTGAAAACTTTGGTTTAGATATGTGTTCTCTTACTCAATTACAAGTTTAGTTACACCGGCCTAAGTTTACATACATACATACATACATACATACATACATACATACATACATACATACATACATACACACACACACACATACACACATACATGTACATAGAACGAGAAAGGCTAACCCCTAACAGATTCCGCAACTGACAATCTTAGAATCACTACCTCTTTAAACCTCTGATGAGAAAGTCGTAGGTGAAAGCAGTTCACCCATACGCATTCAACTCTCAGCTGCAGTATTTGGTTGGTGATATTGGCTATTTTGGTCACACACATACATACATGAATTTCCTAATTTCATAGGTTATGGGATTATTCTTCAGTGTTGATTGATTGTCTATGGTGAACGAAGAGGATTAAACGTCAACGAAAACAATTTTAGTATGGACAAATTGGTAGATAGCGATGGCAATTTTTTTAGAAACTCGTGTTTTTAATGCATGAACAACGCCTACGGTTGATAGAGAGACAATGATATGATTAATTCTAAGGACGAAATGAATTCGTAACGTACGTTTTCCCATCAGAGCCAAATGATTAAACACACGTGAGGATATCGATAGATATGCCAAAAGGTAAATTGACCGTTCAACGACGAATAAAATAGAAATGTGAAGAATTGATAACTCAAATTTTCAAATTTGAGTGGTCATAATATATTTATTAAAAGGAGACATTTCATTTGAAAACCCATAAAATTGTGATAACCTTGAAAAATCGGTGGATCATGTGTTATTTTATATGATTTTTTTTCTATGATTATGATTTAGTGTATTGAGTAACATATATTTGTTTCATAATGTGTTTGTTTCACATATATTTGTCTCACAATGCAAACATTTTTATATGTTTGTGAAACAAAAAATATAACAAAAAAGCTTCATATTGAGAACCGAATATGTATAAATGACACATTGTGAAATAAATATATGTTAATCAATATATTAAATTCTAATTTTAAATGGAACAAATCATGTCGACACACACACACACACACACACACACATATATATATATATATTCACGTACAAAATCATATAGTTTCAAAAACAGTCCGCTTCCATTTTCTTGACGTTAATGTAAAATCACATGTGATTTTCTATATCAACAACCTTTTTTTTGTTTTCTTAAATAATTAGCGTTATTATTTTCCGTTTGTTTCTGAAAGATCGTATTTGGCCTTTTTAGTTTGAATGGATCATACCACAAAAAGATTCGAGCCCATCAAACGTGCTATAATAATAAACCTCTACCTTGTAAGCCTATTGTTCTTCATACCCGAATAGTTTAAAACTCGGATATTACACAAACGTCATAAAGCTATTGGATAACGACTAGTTTTTCAAAATGCCCAAACCAAGCTCTTTTAACCGGTCCCTTATAATCGGGAGGTCTAAAACTTCAATGAACTGGCCTGGCCTAACTAGTCGGTTATAACCGGTAACCAGTTACGGGTTGGTAAAAGAAAAGGCCGGGTCCACTTTGATCATCCTATAGCATTATAGTCTCGAACAACTTGATGCATTATCTCCTTCGACACTTTGAGCCAAAGGCGACAAAAGGAAGGAAAATCCACGCCTGCCATCTCCAGTCCGTAGGAGCTAGGAGATTATCTCAAGGATGCCTTCAACGTCTTAGGGTCACAGACTGACATAGAACCCTGTTTAATAAGTAGAACACATTAAGGGGACGTTTACCTAAACACTTATCCGGCAAGAGCTTAACGGTGAAATTCACACTATCGCTTACTTACTGGGTAAGATTTTAGTCTACCAAAACGACATCGTATGTAACAACTTACCTGGTAAGCTCTAACCGTGGTAAGAGTTGTCACCATCACTTACCGAGTAAGACTCTCGGCCCTTGCCTTCGCTTCGTTTTTACTGGGTAAGATTCTTGGTCCTTGCCATATCCATCCGCTAAGATAATGAAACTCGGTAAGTGTTTACCAGAATAAGCATTTGATAAACGAACCCTAAGTATCCAAACATGAAGTCAATAAAAAAAAGTTGACCATTTCTAATCTGACTACAACAAAATCGGTTTTTTAGGACACTCCCAAATTCTAAATGTCCTAATAGACCTCTTTATAGGACTTAGTTTATAAGACCAAAAAAATAAAAATGTCCTATCTAAAGGTGTTGTAATAAGTTTATATGACGTTTTTTGATGTCGTAATAAGTTTTTTAGGACACTTTAAATATAAAGCGTCCCATTATCAACTTTATAAGACACTATTTGAAAAACTGTCCTATAAAAACAAATGTTCTATAAAAAATTAAGTTTATAGGACACTTTCTCAAAAGTGTGACGCTTTATATTAAAAGTGTCCTAAAAAACTTATTACGACGTCAAAAAACGTCATATAAACTTATTACAACACTTTAGATATGACACTTTATTTTTTTGGTCCCATAAATTAAGTCCTATAAAAAGTCTATTAAAATACTTAGGATTTGGAAGTGTCCTATAAAACCGATTTTATTGTAATGTATTATGTTGCTAACATGATAAAGAAAGAATATAAATAATGATAATGCATCTAAACTTGTCAAAGTCAACGCTTAGTATGCCACCCAAACATTCCCTCCACCTCATTCCATTCATGGCTTTCAAGTCAAACTATTTATTTTTTCAAATTTTAAAAATGAGAAATTTATCTATAATCATTCTATACAACTTGACACCACGTTAATTATAAGGGTGGTGTCTGATTGTTTTAAGCTTGGTTCTAAAGGTCAAAAGTATCACGAAGTCCCAGGTTCAAATCCAAGAAGAAATAAAAATCCCCTTGTGGCCACGGAGGTTCAAATGCGGTGACTCCGGGCTATCTACAAAGCAGGTGGTCGTCCTGGGATTAATCGGCTCGCATAGCGGGTTAGATATCCAGGTTAATGAAAAAAAATGTATATTGCTAAATACACTTTTATCTGGTAATTCTCTCCTCACATCATGGACAGATCCAATGTAGAGCATACTATGGTCCATGCCACCGTATCGTTTTATCCGTCGTAGTGTAAAAGTTTCTAGGGTTGTAAAAAGTGTCACCGTATGTATTTTGAAACTACAATGAGAATGAGTTTTCTTTGGTAGAGTTGGTTTGCAAGTCTTTTCTTTCACCCAGACCTGAGTCTGGATCCTGTTAGTATCATTTTCTTAGTCAAATGATGGCATCTTAAATCTTTTTCCTACATTTGTTTTTTATAGTCAAATGGTGTCATCGCTTGAATTTTTTTTTGAGTCCGTACCTGGTACCAGGTAAGATTCTGGATCCTTACTATGCTCATCCGATAAGATATATGACATCAGATAAAACCCCGACCTGAAAAGAATTTGGTAAACGACCACTAATCCGATAATAAGTAGCAAATTGTATGAAATATTCGAGGAGGTTTCCACGAATATAGTAATCAAAGAATCATGGGTTGATAATGTTGATTAATTATGGTACAGCACTGTCCGTAAGTTCAGCTAGTCAACCCCATATTATATGAATTTTTTAAGGTTTCATTTGCCCATTTTTCAACTAGGCACAATGCACGCAGGCAACAAGGTGGGTGAGGAATTACATAAACCAACTCGCCAGGAGAATGGTTTAGTGAATAATAATTGGTTAGAATGATTAAAAGACTTATTATATAGTGCAAAATGAAATATAATTGTTTGGTAATTATTCTGAATGAAATTAGGGTGCTGAATGGTTAAGAGAGACCCAAAAGTGGTGGCACCATTTGACTATAAAAAACAAATATAGGGATAATTTTCAAAAAATTATCATTGGTCTGTCGGGTAGTTCATTGTTTTTCATGTGTGAGGTCCTATGTTCAAATTTTATGTTGCAATTTCTTTTCCAACAACATAATAAATCTGAAACTAAAAGTTAAAAACTAAGAAAATGACACTAACAAGATTCAAACTCGGGTCTGGGGTGGAATAAAAGCCTTGCAAACCAACCCTACTAAGGGAAACTTGTGTTCTCATTGTAGTTTCAAAATATATATGGTGGTACACAACTAATTGATACGGTGACACTTTTCATAACCCTATAATTTTCTACATTACGATGGAGGAAGCGGTGGCACGTGCCACCACATGCACCACCTGGGTCTGTCCCTGCCTTAAACATCAAGCATTTACCATTGTCACACGAGAAGAAACATTTCTGTTTTTTGTTCTTTTTGGGGTAACAATGGGCTTCAGGACTAGCTTATGTGCACTGACTAATCCCTAAGGTGACCACAAATGGCCTGGAGTCATCGCAATTGAACCTCCATGGCCATATGAGCTCTGTCATTGCCTGGATTTGAACCCCGGAAATATGATATTTCTACTACACTCCCTGGACCAGTGTGACACAACCCAAGTAGTTTAGAGACATTTTCAGTACTTGATTATCGTCGCAAGTAGCTAGAACCGTATAGAAATGCATCTAGTTGCACAAACGATGGTGCAATTTCACTAATGACATATCGAGTAAATCAAATTCGAGTAAGATGAAAAACCAACCTGGCAAAATTCAGATTTTGATAGCATACCGAGTCTCCAGCTCAAACATCAGGCGAGTACTCGGAACCTACAAGGTATAAGCATATCTACAACCAAGTGAGATGTTTGTTAGTTATTCAATACCCACAATACAACAACAATAAGTATAAATAATACTTCCTTCGTCCCAAACTAAATGTCCACAATTAAAAACACTGACATAGTTTTAGAAATGTGTAATTATTATACTTTTCAATGAACTAATGACATTTTAAACTTTAATAATAGAGTGCACAATGAATTTCTCCGTCTCATTACTAAGGGTAGAATTAAAAAGTAGGCACTTACATTAAAAGTGGACATTTATTTTGGGACAAACTATAGGCAGATCCAAAAGGTTATTTTTGTGGTTGCACCATAGGCGGACCTATTTTTTTTTAAGTGGTGGCACAATTTGACTATAAAAATATCTATTTTTTTCACAATATTAGTACAAGTATGTTGGTTGGTTCCTTGTCCTTACATAGAAGAGACCCATATTCGAGTACAGTCTACATATATTTTTAAAAACACGAGGTATATAAAAAAACACTAAAACTTAAGGTAAAAACCAACAAATTTGACAACCATGAGACTCGAACCTGGGCCTTTTGTACAAAGGAAGAAGCATTTACAATCTTAAGCACTAAAGTCTTGTGTTAATATTTCAATTTCAAAATCTATATGGTGTCACCCAAAAGCCAATACGTTGACACCATTCAGAAACGTAATTTTTTCCCTTACGACAGAACCACGAAGCGGTGACCCGTGCCACGGTGCCACCATATCTATCCATGTGGGTCCACCCCGGGTTGCACCTTAGCATACAACGAAACAAATTGATAACCTTCTTAAGAATGATAAAAAGAATTACACTATGTCGGGAAAAAACAGTGGTTGCACGGGCGCCCACCTGCACCCTGTGAATCCGACCTCGTGACAAACTAAACCAGAAATATTGACACTTGTTTTTGGGAGAAATGGAGTAATAAAATACTAAATAAAGTAGGAATCTTATAAGTATGTATAAGATGATGATCCCATGTCTAGAAACTAGAAACCAGAAACTAGAAACCAGAGAAATGAAAATGTGTCAAGGTTTTCTTCCAATGTTGGTTTTTCTTGGTTTAATTCTTACATCAACATTGGTTCATGGCCAAGATGATCAATCAGGTACTAAAGAATAACTTCTCAAAATGCAATCCCCAACTGTTTTCTATCAAATCTCTTGATCAACCTCTCTTTCTTGCAGGCTTCATAAGCATAGATTGTGGGATTGTTGAAGGGTCGACTTACACCGATAACGTAACAGGCATAAACTACGTATCGGATACCGACTTCATAGACAGTGGCCAAATCCATAACATATTGCCGATATACAACTCGTTCACGGTAGATACACAGCTTACTACGCTCACTAGTTTTCCTCAAAACACTAGAAACTGCTACACCCTCAAACCAACCCAAGGAAAGGGTAATCGGTATCTGATACGGGCAAGGTTTATGTACGGGAATTATGACTTTAACTGGCAACTTCCGGAATTTGATGTCTATCTTGGACCTGATTACTGGGATACGATGAAATTTAATTCGTCATCTAAACCGGTAAGCATGGAGATTATACATGTGCCATCATCAGATTACATACATGTTTGTCTTGTAAACACAGGTCGGGGAACGCCGTTTATATCAGCGATAGAACTACGGCTTCTAGCGAGCAACATGTATAAAGAAACCGATTTCGGATCATTATACCTTTTTGCACGCGTAAATTTTGGAAGTGCATTTGGAACAATCAGGTCAACCTTTTATTTAACTGTTTCATTCTTTCTTCTATCAAGAACCACTGAACCAACTCACTTAGTAATTTAATATTATCTATCTTGGACCTCATCGGACCGCCTCGAGGCTTACGCCTTGCCTCGTTGAGAGAAAATGCCTTGAGGCCCGTTTCCGCTTTTTAAAACCATGGTGACATCCTTAAACCTAAGGTCATGGATGTAGAAAACAAGACTCGGTCAGAAGACCATTTAACGAAAGAATCCACCTTTTAGAATGTTTTCTCACAACCCTTTGCTTTCAGCGCTCGGATCGTTATCTTTATGAAAACAGAAGTACTAACTACAATTTTCTTGATCCTCAAACTAGGTATAAAGCCGATGAGTATGATCGCCTATGGAGTCCAATTAACTGGCCTAATAGTACTTTCTTATACACACTAGACAAAGTTTCTACAGGGCTTTTCACAACCATTGATCCACCATCAGAGGTTATGAGTACAGCCATTACGCCAAGATACCCGAAGGATTCATTTAACATAGCGTGGAATCCCGATAACACCACCGATAAGTTCTTCATGTACATGCATTTTGCAGAAATTGAAATACTGAAACAAAACCAGACAAGAGAATTCAACATTTACCTGAATGGGAACCTCTCCTATGGACCTTTCTCTCCGCTAAATCATACGACCACGACCATTTATAGCACAGAACCTGAGATCGTAGCACCCTCGTATACACTAGCGATAAACAAAACAAAGAATTCAACCCTTCCTCCCATCATCAACGCTCTCGAGCTTTATACTTTAAAGCACCTACCACAAAGGCAGACAGATGATCAAGATGGTAAGCATAGAATCTGTTTATAACAAAGAAGGTTTAGATACTAGTTGGTTGACATACCTTAACTCCTTTCTTCTGTCTCTATAACGAATATTAGCCACTGCAATGTGGAGCATTAAGTCAAGTTACATCATAAGAAAGAACTGGCAAGGAGATCCATGTGCTCCACAGGAATTTGTTTGGGATGGTGTCCGATGCAGCTACAATGATACCGGGTCTCCTAGGATTGTATCCTTGTATGTATATGATTTCAAAACCGCTTTAGTTTCGATTGCAATAGTTTATTTACAGTTAATTTGAAATCAGGAACTTGTCGACCAGCGGATTGAACGGAGAAATAGATCCTGGATTAGCTAATCTCACAATGATGCATACCTTGTAAGTGTTTATGAAGATAAACAGAACTATGACAAACACAAAAGTTGACTCTTATATCTATATGTTCTATCTTCTCTATTCCTATTTCAGGGATTTGTCAAACAATAATCTAACAGGAGCTGTGCCTAGTTTTCTTTCTGGAATGAATTTCCTGAAGGTCCTGTAAGCTATCTGCCCCTTGAACTAGCATCAGAAGTCTAGTTTCGTCGAATAAAACTGATCTTTTTTTCGATTCGTTATAGCAACTTAAAAGGAAACAACTTCATTGGGACGATTCCAGCCGGGCTCCTGGCGAAGGCAAACAAGGGATCATTGACATTGAGGTTTGGTACCCATTTTTTGACACCATGAATGAAATTTTAACATCTTTCACTGCTTCAGGATTTAACATTTATAACCCATGATCAGTTTCGATGGCGAGAGCACAGGGGATACTCTAAGTTCATGTGGCACAAATCGCTGTAAAAGAAACAGGGATAGCAAAATCATTGTTCCAGTAGTAGCAACAGTTGCTTCACTCTTTGTGATCTTGATTGCACTCACCGCCATATGGATGATTAGAAAACAAATGGCAAGCGGTATGAGAAACACTGCTCTTTAATTCTATAACCTTGTAAAAGAATCTATCAGCAATTCATACATGCATGAAAAACAAACACAAACATAAGGAAGATTGCATGCAGGCAATAGGAAAACAGGCTCGGGGCTGGAAATAAGAAAACAACAGTATACATACTCAGAGGTACAGAGCTTTACTGACAACTTCAGTGTTGTTATTGGGAAAGGAGGATTCGGAACAGTTTACCATGGGTATATTGATGATACTGAAGTTGCTGTCAAGATGCTTTCCGAATCATCACTCCAGGGGGACAAGGAATTTCAGGCTGAGGTAACTTATGTTCCTGCAGTATCTGAACTGAGCTGAAACATTTGAGCATATGCTTACCAAAGGAGCATGGCCCAGTGGTACCCGGGATACAGTTAGAACCCAACCTCCCAAGAGATCAAGGGTTCAAACCTCACCAACGGTGAGGAGTGAGTATTTCCCGTGTATAAATATTATAAACCTAAAAGAAAGTATGTGGAATGAAAATTGCATGGCAAACTAAAGAAGTTATCTCATGTACAGGCCTATCTTCTCCTGAGTGTTCATCACAAAAACCTCACTTCTCTCGTTGGGTACTGCAACGAAGGAAACCACAAGGCGATCATCTACGAGTACATGGCTAATGGGAACTTAGAAAAGCATCTTTTCGGTATTTGTCAAATTTAGACATCTGTTTTTTCTAGATAGATCACTTATTTGAGCTTGACATGGATTAAAAGCTTATCTACAGTTTTTAAGTTCAAAGTGGATGAAGGTATTACAAACACTTGAGACTGAGTGCTACTATTTTAAATCACTTGAGCAGATACGGGTTCAAGTGTCTTGAATTGGGAAGAAAGACTACTAATAGGATGCGATGCAGCACATGGTCCGTAAGCAATTACATCAATTGAACTTGCTTGTATTTTTGTCTTATATCATCAAACTTTTAACCATTTGGGAGTCTATTTTATAGGGCTAGAGTACCTGCATCATGGTTGCAAGCCACCAATAGTCCATAGAGATGTCAAGTGTACCAACATCTTACTGAATGGAACATTTCAGGCAAAACTAGCAGACTTCGGGCTGTCCAAAGCTTTTCCATCAGAAGGTGGTAGCCATATTTCAACAGCAGTTGCTGGCACTCCTGGGTACCTTGACCCTGAGTGAGTTTTCCTAATCTTAACACTTATTAACTTGAATCTACATCCTGGAGTTGCATATATTTCTGGAATTCTTTTATACTTGATATACACCTTAGATTTATGGCTGCATCTCTCTCCTACCGTTATTCAAAATACATCAGAATGATGTCCATACAATTTCCTCTCATTTTATGTTATACATGGATGTTTTGGTATAAATGCAATAAGAATTCTGGCTTGCAGATATTACACGTCAAACTGGTTAACCGAGAAAAGTGATGTTTATAGCTTTGGGGTTGTGCTTCTAGTGATAATTACAGGCCAACCAGCAATAACCAAATATGACAAGGACAACATGCACATAAGTCGATGGGTTAATTTAATGCTGGCAGACGGGAATGTGAAGAATATTGTTGATCCTAGGCTGCTGGGAGATTTTGACATCAATTCAGCATGGAAGGCAGTAGAATTGGCAATGGCCTGTGTTGCACGCACACCCAGCAGAAGACCAACCATGAACGAAGTGGTGATGGAGCTAAATGATTGTCTGGTGATAGAAAGAGCTCGTCAGGAGACACAATCAAAAACTTTAACTGGTCTCATGTCTCTTAATCTGGAAAGTACACATGATCCGAACCCAAGATAGTGAACTAAAAAAACACAATTTTTGTGATATTTGTCTAATGCTTTATTTGTCTATTGTGTTTCTTGGTTTTAGATGTGGTCGCTTTCTAGAATGAGATATAAGACGTCCCAAGCTTAGCTCTTTTTCACTTGAGCTGTTGTGTGTAATAACTAATAAGTGTAACTAAACTTAAGCCATTGGACCCTTGAAAACTCTGTGTTCCCATAGTTGGTCTCTGTTTCCATCGTACTCTTTGTAGGATCCTTTTAGATTTTCATTATTTGGCATTCCTATATCTGAAATCCTTAAATTATGGTTGATGCATGTAACAGTAATTAACAGCCTTGAAAGCTATACAACCTATGGATGGATTTGAACACTTTATAAATAGCTTGACTATTTGGAGCTTAGACACAGAGTTATACTTTATCCTCCTTCCCGGTTGTGCTAGAGCCTAGATAATGATCATTAACGCTAATTACTTTCAGTATATGGCTATTTGATGTGATAATCCATGGCATCAATAGAAAACACTCGTTTTATATGGATCTGAGTAAATTTTTTGTTTCCAAAATTGGCATTGCCTATGAACCCTATTTGTGATGGGGCACTATTTCGTACGCGTTTTGTTGGACACTATAAAATTTAGCCATCCAAGGTCTAAATTAAATTTAAGGCACACTAGATAAATTAGGCAAATGTTTTCACAAGAAAGTTTTGTGCCAATGTTGAATGAGGACCTGTTATGCGATTTTGTAAGAATCAGGACCCGGACCACGACCAGCTTAACCAGTTGCTACTCTAGGACACGGAACCGGGACTGGTTATAACTGGTCCTAGGACAGGTCTTCGATCATCACTATTTCCCACTAGCAAGAATCACCAAGTTGAAATGTTCCAAAATATCATTATTTTCGACCATGCTCGGGAATTACTTGCACAATGGGATCAGTGGCGGTTGAAGCACCAGGGATGCTGGATGCTATTTGATATTTAAGAAAAAGAGAACTTCAATAACATGAGAATAAGAAAGCAAAAGTAGATCAAAACATGAACCGAACTCACTAGCAAATTTTGATAGTGTTTTTTTTGGGTATGAGAGTTTGGTAATTTTTTCTATACCACTTATTTATACTAATGGATGTTAAAGAGGCAAAAGAAAAACAGCCAAAAGATGCAAAAAAGACGGTCACAAAGCCATTAGCTAACGACTAATTTTTCAAAATGCCTTGACTGGGCTTTTCTAACAGGACCCTCGATAACCAGCCATTTTTAACCTAAGGTCTAGAAATTTCGATGAATCTGTCCTCCCTGGTCCCGATGCTTCCTTAACTGGTTACGGGTCCAGCGGTCAAAAAGGGGACCTAGTCCACTTTGATCATATCTATCTGGTATTATACTCTCATATCTCAATTATTGAAACTAATCATGACGTCAATGACGAAAAAGATTGCCATTACTGCAAGTTGGCAATTTCTAATATTTGTTACTAACTACATGACGAAACTATTTTTTTCTGTCAAGCTATTTTATTCAATTTTAAGAACGAAAGAAATCTATCTATAATCATTCTATATAAACTGAGACCACATTAAACAATGTAAAAGCACCAGAAAGAAAGAAAGTTACAAGTACCCAAAAAGATACAAGTCATAAATATAAGAAATACTAGGTTTTGACAGTTTATATTTATTACAAGACAAAGGGAGCATGCCACATTTACATAGACTGATCTGACAATAACGAGCAAATGATATGAAATATTCCAGGAAGTTTCCACCAATTTACTAATCAAAGAATGACGGGTTGATTAATTTGATAATCTTAATTAAACAATGATGGATAATCTTGATTATTTATGGTCTGGCACTATCAACAATTCCGTAAATTCAGCTAGTCAACCCCATATTATAAGATCTTTTAAGGTTTCACTACAGATGTTTTTAGATCAAGCATGATGGATAATGTTGATTAGTTATGGTCCATCACTATCAACAATTCCTTAAGTTGAGCTAGTCAAACCCCTGTTATATTATCTTTTAAGGTTTCATTACAGATATTTAAACCAAGCAGGATGCAGAGAGGCTACAAGGTGAATTAGGATGTCCAGAACGAAGCTGCCCAGCCGCCAAGGGTATGACTTTAAACCAACCTAAACCAAAAACGAACCCAGTATATCTCATTTAAAAGTAGGGTCTGGAAGAGTAGGATGTATGTGGACCTGTCCTCTACTCTAAAGCGTGTGACTTTAAACATGCCCAACTAATTTTAGTTTACAGTCAAGCTTAGGAGATACTAAATTGTGTATGCATGTAACTCTTTATTCAATGGTGTTGTGCTTAAATGAGCAATTCTGATATAACTGACTGAATGTTACATAATCCCTCATCTAAAAGCAAAAACAATACAGGCATGGACCATTTGTCACACGAGAAGGAACATATAGAATGCTCAATGATTGTCAAACAAGTACAGCCATATAGAAATGCTCGGAGACCATCACAGAAGTTGAACCATAGAGAAATGCTTGCAATTGTCACACAAGTCTGAACCATATAGAAATAAAATGCATCACCATGAAGAAAAGAGAGTGCACTTGCATTGAAGACATATTGAGTGCAATAAATTTGAGAAGAAGATGTAAAACCAACCTGGCAGATTTAGGTTTCCCATGCATACCAAGTCTCCAGCTCAAACATTAGGTGAGTAGTTCGAACCTAGAAGGTATAAGCATCCCTTAAACAAAGTGAAATATTTGTTAGTTATTCTACACCCACAACAGAATAAGTATAATTAATAATAAAGTAGGAATTTTTTTAGTATGTATAAGATAATCCCATGTCTAGATAGTAGAAACTTCAAAATAAGGACTTGGTAGAGAAATGAAGATATGGCAAGGTTTTCTTCCGATATTGGTGTTTCTTGGTTTAGTTCTTGCATCAGTATTGGTTCACGGCCAGGATGATCAATCAGGTACTAAAGAATAATTTCTCTAAATAAAACCACTAACCATTTCTATCAAATCTCTTGATCAACCTCTCTTTCTTGCAGGCTTCATAAGCATAGACTGTGGGATGGTTGAAGGGCCATCTTACACTGACAACAGAACAGGCATAAACTATGTATCGGATGTCGACTTCATAGACAGTGGCGAAATCCATACCATATTGCCCATCTACAACTCGTTCACGATAGATAAACAACTTATCACCCTCTCTAGTTTTCCTCAGAACACCAGAAATTGCTACACCCTCAAACCAAACCAAGGAAAGGGTAATAGGTATCTGATAAGGGCAAGGTTTATGTACGGGAATTATGACTTCAACGGACAACTTCCAGAATTTGATGTCTATCTTGGACCTGATTACTGGGATACGATGAAATTAAATTCGTCATCTAAACCAGTAAGCATGGAGATTATACATGTCCCATCATCAGATTACATACATGTTTGTCTTGTAAACACAGGTCGAGGAACGCCTTTCATATCAGCGATAGAACTACGACTTCTGGCGAGCAACATGTATGAAGAAACTAATTTCGGATCATTATACCTCTTCGCACGCGTTAACTTCGGAACCACATTTCGAACATTCAGGTCAACCTTTTAAGAAATAAGTTCACAACCATTTACTTTCAACACTTGGATAGTTTATATTTATGAAAACAGAAGTACTGACTTCTCTTTTCTTGATTCTCAACTTAGGTATAATGCTGACAAGTATGATCGACTATGGAGTCCCATTAATTGGCCTAATAGTACTTTCTTATACACATTAGACAAAGTTTCTACAGGGTTTTTTACAGCCATTGTACCACCATCCGAGGTCATGAGTACAGCCATCACCCCAAGATACCCGACAGATTCATTTAACATAAGGTGGAATTCTGATAATACCACCGATAAGTTTTTCACATACATCCACTTTGCTGAAATTGAAATATTGAAAAGAAATCAGACAAGAGAATTCAACATTTACATGAATGGGAACCACTGGTATGGTCCTTTCTCTCCGCTAAATCATACAACAACCACTATTCATAGCACTGGGCCTGAGACCGTTGCACCTAAGTATACACTCACAATAAATAAAACTAAAAATTCAACCCTTCCTCCCATCATCAATGCTCTTGAGCTTTATACCGTGATGCAGCTCCCGCAAAGGCAAACAGATGATCGAGATGGTAAGCATGTAATCTATCCTTTGATTTATATGAGAATCACCACTTTTAGACGTGACTTAACTCCTTTCTGTCGTATCTATGATGAATATTAGCTGCTGTGATATGGAGCATCAAGTCGACTTACAGGAGTAAGAAAAAACTGGCAGGGAGATCCATGTGCTCCACAGGAATTTGTTTGGGATGGTATCCGATGCAGCTACAATGATACCATGTATCCTAGGATTGTATTCTTGTATGTATACTATTTGAAAACCGCACCCCTCCCCCCAAGTAAAATTTTAGTTTCGATTGCAATAAATTATTCACAGTTACTCTGAAATCAGGAACTTGTCGACCAGCAGATTGAATGGAGAAATAGATCCTGGATTAGCTAATCTCACAATGATGCATACCTTGTAAGTGTTTATGAAGATAAATAGAATTATGATGAATACAAAAGTTAACTCCTATTCTACATGCCGTATTCTCTCCATTCCTATTTCAGGGATTTGTCAAACAATAATTTAACAGGAGTCGTGCCTAATTTTCTTTCTGAAATGAACTTCCTGAAGGTCCTGTAAGCTATCCCCCCCTTGAACTAGCATCAGAAGTCTAGTTTTGTGGAACAACACTAATCTTACTTTCTATTCATTATAGCAACTTAAAAGGAAACAATTTCATCGGGACGGTTCCAGCAGGGCTCCTAGCGAAGGCAAACAAGGGATCATTGTCATTGAGGTTTGGTACCCATTTCTGGACACTCTGCCTGAAATTTTAGTATCTTTCATTGCTTCAGTATTTAACATTTATAACCCAAAATCAGTTTCGATAGCGAGAGCACAGGCGTAAATGCAAGTTCGTGTGACACAAATCCTTGTAAAAGCAAGAAGGATAACAAAATCATTGTTCCAGTAATAGCAACAGTTGCTTCACTCATTGTGATCTTGATTGCACTCACC